TGGACACTGCACGGTGCTGTGCCTGATGTGGTCCTAGCATGGCGTGCCCACGCTTGCCCAGGTTGCTCTGATATTGTGTCAGGTGGTCATGCTGGCCCGCGAGGTATTTTCAACCTTTCATTGGCTGGTTGCCCCAGCGCTACGGCCCTTGCCGCGTGGTCTGGCCTTGGCGAGGCGCGGCATCCTGGTCCTCCCCTGTGTGTTGACCCTGCTGAGCCTGTCCACTTGGGACCCGACCCTCCGAGCCATTCGGGATCGGTCTTTCGGTTGGGCGTGTGTAATCCCACTGGCCTTAATGGGAAACATGGACTTGTTGCGGGGCTCCCCGACGGGGTCTATGCTGTGTCGGAGACCCACTTAACCAGGCGTGGCTTGGGACTGTTCCGGGCGGGGCTTCGGATCATGAACAGCCACCTTCGCTTTACATCGGGCCCGCCGGTGGCCCCCCGTGCACGGAGCACCGTGACGGGGCAGTTCTCTGGTGTGGGATTCCTTTCCTCTTTCCCTACCCGGGCTGCTCCGCATGCCTTTGCCCCTGAAATCCTTGCCTCTTCCCGTGTTCACTTGGCCAACTTCTTCATCGGTTCTGAATGGATTTTGGGTGCCGTGACCTACGGTTTCCCTGTGCAGCCTGGTGCTACGGAACAGCTGCTCCACGCGGTCACTGAGCGCATCCTTGGAAATGGGGTGGGCCCTCGCTTTATCGCAGGGGACCTGAACATCGAACCCCATGCCCTGACTCTGATGCCGCTGTGGCGGCGACACGGGTTCATCGAGGTGCAAGATTTGTGGCACGCCCGACACGGGATCCTCCCGGTGCCCACCTGTAAGCGCTCAACTCGCAAAGATTTCCTGATGATCTCTCCTGAACTTCAAGAGCTCCTCCTCGACGTCCAGGTCGACGACACCTGGTTTGCCGATCACGCCCTCTTGACGGCTACCTTCCGATCACGCCATTGTTCCTTACCTAAGCCGGTCTGGCGTGTTCCTCGGCCCTTTGCCTGGCCCACTGCGTCCCAGATGCATGAGGCGGTCCCTCTCCAACCCTGGACTGGCCGACCTGATGATGACTACCAGGCGTTATGGGACGACTGGGAGAGACAGGCCGCCAAGGTTTGTCAGCGCAATGGACTTCTCCCTCCCGCGCGTGGGGCCTGTGGGCGTGCTGCTACTAAGGCCACCGCTGCGGTTAAAACTCGGCAGTGCCCTGTGCATGCCGGACGCCATGGCGAACCCTGTCCTGGATACTTTGGGCATGACCGTGTCTATGCTGCCTGGTTTCGCCAACTGCGACGCCTCCAGTCCTTTGTTCATGCTGTCCGCAAGGCCTCAGATACTGACGGGGCAGTTGAGTACCGTGCGGGTCTCTGGCACGCCATCCTCAATGGCCCTGGTTTTCACCGAGGTTTTCGCGCCTGGTGGCCTCTCCGTAAGGTCACGCACCCGGCCGATCCGGCTACCTGCCCGGTCTCCCCTCCTTCCTTGGCTTTGGCACAGGCTCTCCTTGACTCCTTTCAGCGCAATGTCACGCAGTTTGAAAGAGATCTCCGGAAAACACGGCGGGAGACGGCTGCTGCACGGAGGGCCTCGGACCCCTCCGTTATCTTTCGTGACCTCAAGAAGATACCAGCCCAGCCTGTGGACACTTTGGTGCTCAAAACCGTGGCGGTCGTCTCGGAGGTGTGCCAAGATGGCTCCCACCTCAAGCTTCGGTCTGATGTCTCCTGGCGCCCGGAGCAGGGTTTCTTTCTCAATGGCCACCCGCTGGAAGTCTTCCATTGTGAGCCCGATGTCGTGTGGGCCTCGACCGAGGGCGTTGCACCTGGGGATGTAATCAGCCAGGAACGTCCACTGGCTTCTCTTCATGAGGTCTTCCAGGCCTTTGCGGATGAATGGCAGACGCGTTGGCTTAAGCATGAGAATGTTGACCCTGATGTGTGGCGGGCCCTCACTGACTCAGTCGGTGTGCCGGCGCTGCGGCCTTACCCTTGGCAACCGATCTCAGTTGAGGAGTGGACCCGGGCGGTTAAGGCCAAGCACTCCAAGTCTGCCACTGGCCCTGATGGTGTGTCAAGGATTGACTTGATTGCCCTCACCCCTCCCTTCGTTGAACGGCTCCTGCGTATCGTGTCTTCTGCTGAAGACACGGGCAGCTGGCCTCAGCAAATGCTGAATGCAAGTGTGGCCAGCGTCGAGAAGGTACCTGAAGCTGAACAGGTCTCCCAGTTCAGGCCTATCTGTGTGCTGCCAATCCCCTACAGGACCTGGAGTTCCCTCAGGGCCCGTGTTGCCTTGCG